GGAGCGAGTCGACTCAGCAGAAAATATAGCAGACCCCTTAACTAAACCCTTATCACAGAAAGTGTTCGAAGGACATCTTGAGAAGATGGGTCTTAGATACATGAGTGATTGGAACTAGGGCAAGTGGGAGATTGTTAGAGTAGGGTACCCGGCGTTCCAATCTAATTGGACGTATTCTACTTGTAAATACAGTCTATTGGAATTATATTATGAATAAGGCATTTCTTTATCTTAAGAGAAAGCATTTATCTTATAATTGCACTTAAGATAAAATCCCTAGATCACTTATGGTTATAAGGTATGGTTGCGCATAGAGATGGTGATCATGGAACATACCTTGAAAGCCGTGATCTTAAATACAGTTCCAAGTCGATGGATGTTTCGAGATGGGATATCGAATAATCCATAAAAGACTTGCACATAGTTTGTATGCTTGTTGGACAAGAATGTTGCATTCCATCAACATTAGCGTAAGACGTAAGTACATTTATGTGGGTGCTTGTTAGAGAACAAGTTCACTGAACATGACCGTATGAAAATTCTTAATGAAGAATTTATTCAGTCGAATAAGAATTTTCATGTTACAATAGTACATGACTAATCCTAAGACTTGAGGCACAATGGTAACTTTGTGCATATTACATTCTACTTTGATTTATCCTTTTGGTAGCTAGCACTATCGTTTAAAGGGATAAGTTGGGTATTATGTTGATATGTATGGAAGTTTGTTAGTGGCCAATAAAGGATTCGACACTTATGAAGATAAGTGAATTTCCTATGTGTTTCATAGTTATTAATCCAAAGTCCTTGGCCAAGGCAGAGATGAATAGTGATTCATAACCGGGTTAATAAACATGAAATAGAATCATAGTTATTAAGTCAATTTGGGTTTCGACAAAATCATACCCAAGACTTAATCGGGAAATTAGATGTCGAAAGGATTTTACATGTATGGAGTTGTAATCGGAATAGGTTTACTCGCTATTCACTTAATACTAGATTCATGCTACTTGCTAGGTGTTACCATGATATGTGGGTTCATAAATTAAAGGGTTAATTCATGAATAAGAGTTAATAAGATTTAACTCAAATTACAAAGTGTTGTAAACCCACTACTAGTATTAAGGTGAACCTAAAAGGTCACACTAATTATGAACAAAGGTAAAGATTGTATTTCTAATGGTTAGAATTAATTGATAAATATCTAATTTGATTAGATATCAATTAAAGGAATATATTAATCAATAAGATTGATTAATTACATTTTGGATATTACTTTAGTAATTAAGGTAATTACTAAATTAATAAAGTTGAATTTTAAAATAGGATTTTAAATTTCAAAAATCCAAAATAATAATAATATGATTATTATAATATTGGGAAAATGATATAATAATAAAGTCTTGAGAAAGATTCTCAAGATTTATTATCCAATTATTATTTATATCTTTAAATATGATTTAAGGATTAAAATAATAAATATGATTATAATAAAATGGTTGTTGATGGTTGTTTGAACTACTTAACATATCTTATTATTTTCAAAGTCAAAAGTTAGTAAATACTATTTAAATAAAATTTGATTTTATTTAATATTACTAAATGTTGATTATTTTATGCTAAAATGTTTAGTATAAATATGTGCAAAATGGTTTTGCATTTAAGTGAAGTTTTTGATCCTAAATTTCTAAGTGTTAGAAAGAGAAGAAAGTGTTCTTCATAAAACTTCAAGAAAGAGTTCTTAAAATTCCCAAATAAAATTCATAAATATTCCTATACAAGAAAACCGAGTCTTTTCTACTAGCGAAGGAAAGTCGTCGGAACCGGGCTTCATAGGGTGGATACGTTTAGAGGGAAGACACTTGGATTCCTCTAGCGAGTAACCTCAAGTCGTTGAAGTTACAACCGGGAACCGATTCCCTCATCCATCATCCATAGTGAAGGAGTTCAAGACATTCGATAAATATTTTTACTAGTATTTACTTTATAGTAACAAATCAAAATTTGTATATGATGCATGTTTTAAAGATGACGATCAGTTAATTCGCAATTAGTATGTACGGGTGTTGTATTTATACGATAAATAATTACTTTAAAAATTTTAAATTCTGCTGCGTACAGCCCGTACGGTACTATCGAACCCAACAATTATAAGCCTGGATAAATAGCCTTAAAATTGTGCACTCCGTGCATCGCACAGACTCTGTACTAGTAAGGTCGAAAGAACGATGTAAAGCCAGTTATTTTAAACTAGTACAGAGCCCGTGCGATGCACGGGGTGCATAATTTTAAGGCTATATTTATTTGGAGAATATTATATTATAAGATGCAATATTCAATAAAAGTTTATAATACGCAAGAAAATTGTACAATGTTCAATAAAAGTTTTATAATATTCAAGTGGAGTCTTAAAGTCACTTATACATTAAGACTACTGACAAAATAATATTTAATCAATGAGTTTCCTTTCCTTGTATCCAAATTGTGAATGTGATTTGAGGAGTACAACAAATTGATATATAGCTGACTTGCTTTTTTCATTTTAGTTTTTTTTCTTTTTTTTATAATGAATTTAAAGGTATTCTAAAATATAGTAAAAATTAATTTTTTTTATTACAATTAGGAATTTTACTAAATATAGACTCTCAATCTTTGGTGTTAATCAACGTTTAAGTCTAAAAAATTAGGAATTTTTACCTCTTTTAATCAACGTTTAAGTCTAAAAAACAATAGAGTTATTATAAATTTTTTTTCTACGTCTTTTAAAACATTAAATATGAGCATGTTAGGGCTAGCTTGTAAAATAATTAATATATTATATCACTAAAACATTTATACTAATAAAAATTTAATTTTAGCATATAAATTTATCCCTTGATATAAGAGAAAGTAACAGTTTTACTTATTGTTGTTCACCATATAATATTTAATTATTATTTTATTATATAATAAAAAAGAAATATTGTTAAATAGTGTAGTAGAATTGTTATAAAATTATATAATTTTTTTTTACAATATGGATTTAATATTTTTTTATGATTTGATAATATAAACAAATCTATACTTAACTTTGACAAATAAAACAAATAAATACTTTAGTAAGTATTTAATGTATATACTAAATAGGAATATATTTGGTATAATCAAATACCAAATATAATCAAATAAGTCAAAGTGTACATTTTTATTTGGTATTTGATTTTTTTATTATTAAAATCTTTTTATTATACTTATCTTTTTAAAATAAAACAAATAAATAAACCAATTAAATAAATAAAATATTATAATACCAAAATAGTAATGACATTTAATGCAGTTGACTTTTCTGGATAGTAAATGTAGTCTTCTTTTATATAAGTATAGATATGATATTATATTATGTTACTCAAAATAGTAATGCATTTATTGCATTGACTTTTCAACTTACTAAATTTCGTAAATGGTACACCTTATTATATAAGTATAGATATTGTTTAATTTACATAGATATATTTTATTTTAATTTATCATTAAATATAAATATAGCTATTAAGTTATTATAATTTTATTATTCTTATTATTAACCTAATTATATTTCTTAATAAAAATTGTTATTACAATATGCATGTACTACACGGGTACTTGTTAAAATAATTATATTTAAAATTAAATAATAATAACAACAAAAATTGTTTTAGTTTTTAAACACTTTTTGAAAAAATATATTTTTATTTATATTTAAAATGACAATGTCACTACTATGACCTAACATCTTATATTATAATTTTTTTTAATTTATATCAAATAACTATTTTGTAGTTAAGTTAGTTTAAATAATTTTATTTTTTTGTATTAATATTAATAAGTAATTTAATTTTAATTATAAAGATAAATAAAATTATTTTTTACTTTATATGTACAATGTAGATATCAAATCGAATCTCATCAAAACATGATTAATTTGATATATTATAGAATGTGGAAGTAGATTTGTGGTTGTACCTCATTCCCCTTTTAAAGTGGGAAACCTGCCCGAATTAGTCTGCCTGAGTAGCCCGCGATCAGCTTGCCATGATTAATTGGAGTCATCATTGCATTCCTTCTTATCCTCTTAAGATTCCATCTTATCTCTTTACTTGGTGATTCAATTAGGTCTCTGTCTGGTTGTTGTCGTCGTCACGTTCATCTCCTCACAAGTCGCTATGTCAACATCTTGACTCATTAAGTTACCTTGAATATGATATTTTACCCTACTTGAGACCTTAGAGTAGGTCTCTTGGTCATGATAGAGTTATGAACTATAGGCATGGAGACTTTCATCGAGATAGTTCGTAGTAGTCTTTTGTTTAAAAAATATTAAAATATTCATTAAAATTGTTGTTAGAATTGTATCGGAATATATTTCCATTGAAAATTCATAATTTATAATATTTTGAGTGGATTTATGTGAAAAAACGAAGTTTGTGATAAACTTTATCTAAAGTATACGATATCAATTTTAAAAAATCAAGCCTAATAATATTTTCTCATTGTAGCCATGTATCACACGGTACTTAAGTGATAACTATTGGACCAATTAAAAGACATGAACGGCATGTGGTGGCCAACGAAGCCGACATCGGCCTCAAGCGCGTATACACTAAAATCATCTTCAGATTTTATGGTGAAAGGCTTTTTGTCCATATGAATTAGTCAAACAGAAGTTGATTGTCACATATATTAGAAAATGAAAACGAACAGGGAAGTATTTAAGAAAAGAGAGTCGCTATCTTTGCTTCAAATATTAAGGCTACATTATATTTGGCCCTCTTTTTAATTCACCAATCACATGCTTAAACGTAAAATAAGAAAAAATAAACAATTTCAAGATGACCAGTTACACACACACACACACAAAAGAAAACAATTTTTCTCTAAGACTTTATCACTGTCAAAGACAATGATCTCAAGCAAAAGCTGTAGGTGAATGTAATAACTAATAACCCAACCTATATAGATCATATATTTTTCAATTTTGATCTTTTCTGTTAAACAAATAACGATAAGAAGAAAAAAAAATCTGAATTACCAAAACACAAAATGTACATCACGATTCACATATAACGTTGACGACAGCAAACAAAATTTCAAAAGGATTCTTAATCTTACATGTCCTTACTATAAACATAGGTAAAATACTTATGTCACACACTACAGATTAACTAATAAAACCCATTCAATATAACGCACCAAAAGAAGTGTTCATTGCGTAGGTAGGACATGATGAACTCTCTTTTTAGGCTCCGAAGGGCAAAAGCGACAATTTTCCGAACTCAAGCCATGCTGTCCTGCATCGCCATTCGCTCGGAGACTAAAGCCAGAGACCTAAGATTGCAGTTTATGTAAGCCTTGACAAAATAGCAAGTCTCTTCTAAAGTATTCCCTTTAGGCACGTCCACCACGAATGACTCGATCACAACTGTCCCTGGTCTCCCCTCAATCGTCTCTGGATGAACCGTGATTATCGATGAGTAATTCTGAGAAAAAATAAAATAAAAATAAAAGAAATTAATTATAACAGAAATCAGAGTAAAATGTAATTTTAGTCCTGTATGTTTCACTTCTCTTAACTTTTCTGTCCTCTTCGAATTGTGTTTCTCAATTTCGTCCATGATGTTTGCAAAACAGGTTAGCATACATAAGCGACGAAATTGTAACATTTTCTATAAAACATATATAAGGGACGAAAATGAAAAAACGCAATTCGAATAGGGCGAAAAAAAGTTAGGGTAGTGAAACATACAGGACTAAAATTGCAATTTACTCCAGAAACTAAGTTTGCTTGAATTACATTCAAGTATCTTACGTTTAGCCTGTGATCGCCACCAACAAATTTGACCCGAATGATATGCCTTCGGTCATCGAGAAGCTCCAAGCGCTCGGTGCTTGTGGTGGCCGGAAGTCCCGACTTTACGTTAACTTCTCGAACACTACCGATATTGAGATCTCCCTTTACCGTGCATCGGCTAACAAATGGTTTGTACTTTTGCGGCTCATCGAATCTCCTTACAAGGGACCAAACCTTGAAACAGATGTAGTGTATAACAATTAGTTTATTTGGATATTAATTTCATTGTGAAGGGAAGTTGAGATAAGCACTTGAATCAAATTAACCAAACAATTAACTTCAAGTCTATGAATTGTGTATACTTTTTTTTAGCTTTTCCACTGGTTTGATTAAGAAATTTCTTGGAAGGGATTGATGGAGAAAAGGGAATAGAATAAATAGCCATAATACTGCGTTAATATTTTTTATTTTCTGTACTTACATTTCATTTGACACCAAGTTAAGGGCATATACTGAGGCTTTAAGAACAAATTAACCACTACCCCTTCTTAAAGATTTGATCTTTAAACAAATAACCTACCCCCAACAACCTCCCAATTCAATCAAGAAACACATGATCAAAATANGGAGCCCATTTATAATTACAAAACAGAAGGATTAACTTATCATCAACAGCAGATCTCAGATAAAGCTTAAAGAACATAAAAAGAAACTTTTGATAACTAAGCAACCATATATTGACAAAAACAGAGATACACACAAAGGTCTAAAATCAAGAATAAGAAAATTAAATACACGCTAGTTAATATGTGATAAATAAGAGAGAGAGAGAGAATTACTATGTCAACTGGAGCTTTTATGTGCTTGACAACACAAGAAGAACACTGGTTCACATTGTGTTGGTGCCCATGGTATCTACGTATATACTCTGCCTCCATTCTTTTTTTTTTCTTTTTTTTTTTATTTTTTATTTTTTTTCTTCTATTGAAAGTTCAATCAAGAAGCTTGATTTCTTGCCAAAAAGTAACTAACTCTGATCAAGAAACACCTTATCTCAAATCCCAGATTAAAAAACGTATCTAAAACTTGTGTGGTTACCTTGAGTTGTTGTTCTATGCATGTATGTGTGAATGTGAATGTGAATGTGAATTTGAATTTGAATGTGAATGTGAATATTTATGGTGGATATCACTCTCAGCATGCACCGACCAGGCCAACCACTGTATCATCAAAAGGTCCAAAAGCCCCCTTGTGGGCCCACTTATTTACATGAATCAAATTAGAAAATATTATCTCTTTTTTCTGCTTCTGTATTAACAATATTATTTTTTTTTTCAAACAACGGTGATGCTTGCTATTTTGTGATGGATGGATTCTTCATGTTTGAGGATGGGCTCCAAAAGTGCCTATATTCAATGATTTTAGGCTGAACACAATAAATTAAGTTGCAAATAAGAATCATGTTCTATTATAATATTATGTATGAGGATTACACATAAAATTATGTCCTGTTATAGGCCTTCAATGTGATGGGGCTCGCGAATACCTTATTGTATATGCATTTGGACTACCTCAAGTTATTTGTTTCACTTAATAATTTGTATCATGTCTATCTAGATAAATGAGATATTTTCGCATGAAAATATGGATCATTTCTACCTTTATTTTATTGTGAGTTTAACTTTCTTTCGTCATTTTTTTTTTCGGACAACGAATAGCTTTTTCTAAACTTGCAAATTGCAAATACCTGAATGAATAAAATTTACATCTATGGAATCTATGGAATACTGAAAACCCAATCAAAAATTTGCTATATTGTCAACTTAGTGTACAACTAGGTTGACAACACAAATAGAAATATCTAATTGTGTTTTTTTTTTTTTTTAAACTTGTTTGGCAATGTAGCAATTTCCAACCCAAAATATAGGAAACTTAATTTACTATTGGGTTTCAAGTTTGGATAACGAGATTTTGATTAGTTAATTTCCTTTACTTGCATGACTACCAAGCTCAATTATTATCATCCTCAAAATACAAAAAGAAGTTTTAGAAGTCCCATTTGTGTGCCCAAATTTGATTATTGTCATCGGCCAATCAAATATTAATGTCATGAAAGTGAGGCTGTATGTTCCTTGGGCAGCCTTTTACAATCATGGGACCTCACTTGTTTGCCTTATTCACATAGCTAGTATTGATGTGTTCGATTAAAATGTTGGTATTTTTTTTAAAAAAAATTATTCTGTTTATGTAGAGTTAATCTCCTCTATATATAATTTCAGAATAGGTTGAGCCTACGTGGCAAACTTTCACGCTTCGGAATCCTATTTGGCAAAAAATCATGGTTTCGTTTGGTTAACAACGTTTTGCCTCAAAAATAGCTTTTTCAGCTTCATGTGAAAAGGCAAAGGCAAAAAATTTTCAAAAGTTCTTGAGGTAATTTTCAAGGATGTCGTTATCTTGAGATCTTAACCATGTTCCAAAATTCTATAATAATTCCAATCATCATCTATCTATAGTTATATGGTCCTCTTATATTTTTTGTTCTGGAATATGTGATCCTTTTATTCCATTTTCTTGAAATTTGATTTTAAATCACTGTAAATTTGTTCTTCATGGTGATTAATTAAGAGTTTTTAGTTATTCACTCAAGTTTAAAGTCTGGATGCTTGTTTGTGTTTGTGAAATCTAAGTGGTCACTATGTATTGTAAGTGTTCAGTGAATAAGAGTGTTAGATTATAGTGAAAAAATTAAATTTGAAGGCAGAGCTAAATAAGAATATTAGATTAGTCTGAGTTTAAAGTCCTTCCATTTATTCTTTTTTTTTTAAGGCTGAGTTGAATGAGAAGCTGACAAGGAGTTATGAAGTTAAAGATCAGAAGTCATCTTTTTATTCAAGTTCATGACATTCTTTGGTGGGGGCATATCTACATGCTTTGGCTTGATCTATGATTCTATCGAGAATACAGAGATATATGGTCCTAGATAAGGGTAGTTAGCTAGTCATCCATATTAATATTTTTTTACTCTTTGAGATGTGAAGTTTGATTATTAGTATGATTATTTCCAATATAGTTTGTCATGGTATCTTATAGTAACATTTTAATATTTATATGATACTCCAAGGAGTCTTCTTTGGATTTGTTTTCTAATTTTGTGTATAATGTCAAGGAGTTGTTATAGTTAATGGCAGAATTCGAAACATCAAACGTTTTTTGGTATCTAAAGTATGAACAATATGGATCTTTATTGTTCTAGCTTCTTCAAATTTACATAATTTTTTTTTATCATCAATTGGGTTGTACTCATGCTATTTATTTCTTCAAATTTCTACCACTATAATTTTTGTTTCTTTGAACTATATAATTCCGTGAACTACTTGTAGTGTCATATTAATATCTTATCATTTGTATTATACTTCCAAGGATGTTCAAGAAAATTGCTCAGGTTATACATTGATTTGAGTTTTAATGGTTGAATGCCGCTCTTAGTAAATGTGCTTTAATCATAAGTTAGAACATAAATAAAAATGATAAATTATGTTGATGTCCTTAAAAGTAATTCTACATGTTAACAACTAATTAAAAATAGTCAATTTTACCAAACACTACTTCACAAACCGCTAATACAATCAGCTAGTCAAAACAGCTAACATTATCAGTTGGTTAAAGAAGCTAATGTAATCCGCTAACAGCTAACCGCTGATTACCAAATAAGGCCCATGCTTTGGAGTTAGGCTTGGATATAAATTAATATTTTTTATCACACTAAATCCATGATTGATATTTTCTTTCTTTACTTCTACAATTAGTTACCATAAATTATTTTACATTTCTTTTTCCTACATTACATTTCAGTTTCTTATTTAATTTATTTATTAGTTATTATAAATGTTTCTTCTTCTTATTTTAAGATTTTATAACTTTTTGGTTTGTATTTTATTTTTTAGATATGATATATCAAATTAACTATCTTTTAACGATTTTCGATATGACATCCATCTTATATATATAAAATACAAAATAGTAATATATATTCTTAAAAATAAAATTTAAGTTTATTTATCAAACTAAATTAAAAATTCTGAAGCTGCAGAAAACAAATTGGGTTCCTGGTCTGAACAGAGCTAGTCCTGAACTTAAGGTGGGGATAGATGGCAATCTTTTCTGGGTAACTGACCTCCTTCAGGCTGGTGGTGTGTATTGGGATGGAAATCTTATTAGGGCCTTGTTCTCAGAAGATGATGCTGAAAAAAATACTGCAGATTAACTCTCCGAATCCAAGAGCTGAGGATAAAAGACAATGTGACTTGGTGGACAAGGGCAAGTTCTCTGTTAAGAAGGCTTATTAAAATGTTGGCTGCTAAGGTGGCTTCATCTGCAGTTGCTGAGAGCAGTGGGCAAGCTGAGGGCAATAAAAGAGCTAGAAGAAGATGCTGGGAGTTGAAGGTGATGGGTAAGGTGAAACATTTTGTGTGGCAAGCCATTTCAGATATTTTGCTTGTCAAATCTAATCTTCAGAGGAGGGGAATGGATGTTGAGGGTAGGTGTAGAGTATGTGGGGAAGGAGAAGAGACACAAGAGCATGTTCTATTTTCTTGCTTAAAAGCTGTTTTAGTTTGGAAACTTGCTCCAGTTCAGTGGGATAGGGTTTTGGAAGAGCAGCTTACTGTCAAGCAGTGGTGGTGGTGGATTAGTAACATGAAGAAGGATGACATTTCTGAAGACAGGATTCAGCTATCAACCTACATCTTGTGGTGGCTATGGAGAGCTAGAAATTTGTGGATTTTTGAAGGGCAATGGTACCCGGAAGAGTGGATTGTTAGGGCTGCTGTTAGAGACTGGATTGACTACAAATGCAGGCACACTTCTGGATGATGGCAGAACCAAGTCTGTAGCCTAGGTCTAGGGTCAGTGGGTTATTTGGCTTGTGTATGTTTGTATCAGGAAAAATTGCACTATTCGTCCACTAACTATAGCCTAGTTGCACTTTCGTCCTTTAATTGTTTATTTTTTACTTTTGGTACACTAACATTTTTTTTTTGGGTAATTTTAGTCCAAATCGACATTCCGGTGCTCATTTTGCCGGAAAAGCTTACGTGGCGCCTAGTTAGATCTCATTTTTTATTCCCGGTGTGATGTGGCATGAGATGGGCCCAAGTGTTTGGACACGTGGAACAAAATAATATTAAAAAAAAATAAAAAATGTTACAAAAATCCACATGTGAAGACACATGGATTAAAATCATTAAACAAAAACAAAAAGAAAACAAAATGGATAAAGGGATTTGGGATTGAAGGACCCGGCGGGATTAGGGATTACACAAAAAGAAAAGAAATTTTTTTTGGCTGCAGGGTCGTTGAAATGGGCACCGGATCCGGGCCCTGGCCTGAGATGAAAGACTCGGCGGCGGCGATATACAAGATCGCGTTCTTCGGAGACCTACCGGAGACTCCCAATTTTGGGATTTGATATTCTCTGGAGGACTCCCAATTTTTCTGAAACTCCGGTGAAATCGAATCGTATTCGAATTCCCCGACGGACCGAGTTCGAGCTTTGGTCGGAGGTGATTTTCCGGCAAGCTTGGGGTTCGATTCCTACGCGAGCCCATAAGAGAACTGCCCCGGTGGACTAGAAGTTGGGCCAAATCCCAGTATATCGTATTAACAATCTCCTTCGAAGAGATCAGGTCCTATGTTCTTTCTTTCGAAGCGAGCCATTGGCAAGGAATTGATGCACCGAATCTGCTCTTGCAACCTTCGTCCGTCTATGTTCTTTCTGATGGGGATGAGATTTCCCCTTTTTTTTTTTTTTGTTTTTCCACATGGATTTTTTAACATTTTCTTTTTATTTTTTTATTTTGTTCCATGTGTCCAAACACTTGGCTATGTATCGTGCCACATCACGCTGGGAATAAAAAATTAGATTTGACTAGGCGCCACGTCAGCTTTTCCGGAAAAATGAGCACCGGAATATCGATTTGGACTAAAATTACCAAAAAAATAATTTTAGTGTACCAAAAGTAAAAAATAAACAATTAAAGGACGAAAGTGCAACTAGGCTATAATTAGTGGACGAATAGTACAATTTTTCCTTTGTATCATGTGCTTTTATTTATTCAGCTGTGTTTGTAGTTCTAGTCAGGTTCTGTTGCTATTGTTCAGGTCCTTGGGTTTGCTCCTTTGGTCGGTGTTTTATTTGCCTTGGATTGTTGTTGTCGCATTTTAGACAAGCCTGTGGCTTGTTCTCTCATTTGTCCGGAATTGGGGTTTTTTCCTTGTACTCTTCGCTATTTGGTTGTTATTAATGGAGCTGTTATATCGTTGGAAAAAAAAAAAACTTAAAAGATATTAAATAAAACTATAAATTATATTATAAAGTAATAGAAATTGGTATGTATTCTTTTAAAAATGATTTTTATTTCAAATCTAATTGGTATGTTATCAATCTAATAAAAATAAATAATTATTTATCTGAATTCTAAAATTACATATAAAGTTAGAAAACTGTGAAGCACGACGGATACGACACTTGATGTATTAGGCATCTAATTAAGTAAAAAATTAATCTATTTTGCTTAATATTAAACAAATATATTATGCACTTATGCATATACATATCACCATATTATTTCTATTTATTTAAGATATATATTTTTTTACTTAATAATAGTAAATAATATCGATAATTTTATATGATATAAGTACAAAAATTCAATATAAGTTGACATTTTTTTTAATATACGGGTGTTTAATTATTATGATTAAAAAAATATAATTGACAATTTAATTAAAACCCAAAGTAATGTTTTATATAAAATTAATTTTTTTTAGTTTAAAAAAAATTAATATTTTTTACATATACTTCCTAATTCAACACCCGTGTACTTACACGAGTATTGTACTAGTATTTATTATTCTAGAGTTCTTTGTTCATGTATTATTTGTGTTTTGGAGTTTAAGTCACTACAAAATTTGTTAGAGTGTTGTTTTTAGTGTAACTAGGAAGATGCACGTGTGTTCTGCAGATGAGTGTATTCGATCAACGGTTAATTAAAAATTAAAAAGTGTTTTGAGTTGAATTTTCAGAAGCTTAGCTAAGGTGGACATGTACATTTGTCGCGGGAAGAATCAGACAGAAAGCAAATGGAGAATAATGTAAGAATTTGATGGTGTGACAGTGGCCTAGGTCGCCCAATAATATTATGGCTCGGACTAATGTCCCTTAGTTTTTATGACGAGAGTCTATATCTCATGAGCTGTGAAATTTTTCGTTCGATTTTTCAGATCCAATACAAGAGTATTTGTAGTAACTGTAGCTCGAAAAACTGTTCGTCGGGCCGTACAGTACGTATTTAATTGATTGGACAAGTGCATTCAATGCGTCATACTATCTTAGGAGTTTAGGACTGGCTGGTCGACATGTTAGCCGATGGAGATGTGATTTCCCATCATTAGACTACAAGTTGTCTTTATTTTATTGTCTTCTGCTCGACCTATCAGTCTAGGTTGGGTTAATGTTCCTGTCTCGTATTTAGCCTCGTCTCCTCTTGTGGCTCGATTATTTTATGTCTGGCGACTAGTCTGTAGACCCAACTCAGCTTATTGGATATGGGCTATCTTTTTCTCTCCCCTTTGGGCTCACTTCTCAACTCGGTGGCCAATATACAGGCCCCCAAGCTCGGATATGTCTCGGTTAGTGGCTTTTCTGGGGTCGTACTTCAGACCCTCGTTCGAGTAGATCTGGGCCCTCAATCATGACTGACGCATCCTTCAAGGCGGTTCGCATCCCATACATCAATTATAACATCCGAAGGGTTTCTCTATTTAGATGGCATGCCCCGACTTCCATAAATGCCTAAAAAGATGTGCAGATAAACTTCCTATGAACACCAATTTTTACAAATTTTGAAACGTCGCTCCACACGGGTTTTTCTAATTGGTCGAGGGTCTCCCTATAAATGGGCTTTCCCCTTCTTCATTTTCTCTTTCCTTACTTTTGCAATTTGGAACTCTTTTTGCAAATGCAGAGACCTTAACGCAATCGTTTGGAAAAAAAAATGGCTGATTCCTCCAGGTTTTCTTTGCGCACCTCGATCATTCGAGTTAGAACCAATTTTTAATCTTTTATCCCATTCCTTCTTCTTTTTTTTGAAATAATGGTTGCTTCTTCTTCGTCAGCATTGAGAGTATGGATCTGGCCGTGGTGAGGACATCTCAGGGTCTGAAAGATGACCAATCCGGTGGTGAAATCGAGCAATCGACATCGATCCAGACCAGCTATTGGGTTCGACCTCATCAAAATTAGCCCACTCAGCCGTATTTGGAGATCAGAAATATTGCTAGCATGATTATCGAATTGGACATCCTCAAGATGAGGAATGAGTTTCGGCTTCCACAGAGTGTGAGGATGTTCGCTCTCTATCCGGAGGAGAGCATTCATAGCCCCTCGGAGGGCTGCATCGGGGTATTTGAGTATAGTCTCGCACTCGGGTTGAGGTTCCCACTGCCTAGGATTCTGACAGAGTACAACAGAGATTGGGGTTTCGGGTTCAGACCAACCCCAACATTTGGGTTAATTTTCATGAAATGTTTTTACTACTATATTCGGTAGCCGAAATATTAGCATAGGTGAAAAATGCTCCTGCCCCCGTTCATTTCCCACTCTTCGTTCATTTCCCACTCTTCAGCCTACTCTCTGACGTGTTTGTCCATGTCAGCAGTGCAAGACAATTGTGCATTAACTTTTATTTTATGTTAAATTTCTCTTCTCTTTATTTTGTTCTTCCCCAAAATTTATTTTAGTTAAAATTTATCTTTCTTTCTTTTGTTCTTCCCCAATATTTTTTGCCGTTANTTCCACAAGAAAAAAAAAAAAGAGAGAGAGAAAACTTAAATTCATGGTCACATAGAAAAATCCAACAAGTCCTAGCACAATCTCAATTGAGTTCCTGAAGTCAAAGTACCTACAGGATCTTCGCTTGTCTTTCAATCCTTTAAGCTCGAAAACTTGTGTTCGTTTCCCTCGCCGGCTGCCAGTCAAGATCCGATCTTGACGGTTGATAGTTTACGAGTATGGACTGATTCTCTTTGGCGTGTTGGCCATCAACCCATTACCGCCACGGGGGCCGCCGACTAACAAAAGGTGTTGTGGTTTACGGCAGATGATAGGCGCGGGGTAGATAAGGAAAAGTTTGTGGGTTACGAAAAAAATGTTTGTTTTTATTTAAAAAATGTTTTTTTTTTCCACTTGGTCTAACAAGGAAAATTTGATGACTTATATTGACAAGTCAAAAGACACATTATGGAGTTACATAATGTGGTAGAAATTGATGGGGCTGTAGCGGTATTGAATTTATATTTAGCCTTGTTTTGGTTTACAATATTCAATCATGATGTTCAAAATGAATTATGACAAACTACTATTGTGGTTGGGCTAGTGGAAAAGTTATATATTATTGAAAGATTCCCAATTCTAAAGCTCCCAATTAAGGGAAACGATTTTACACTACAACAAAATGATGAAATTCCAACAGAAAGTTTCAATACAAATATATTTTAATGGAATTCCAACGGAAATTCCAACAAAAATATTCCGTTAGAATGTGTTTTTAATTGTAATTTCTGTTGGATTTTGATGATTTCAACGGTAGATTTTCCAACGGAAATTACATATTCCAACGGAAATTTCTATGGTAAAAAACCGTTGAAAAATTAGTCATTGGAATCATCAAATTCCATCTAAAATTCTAATGGAAAAATCATTCCAACGCAATATTTTCGTTTGAGTTTCCGTCGGAATCATTCCAACGGAAGCTATACCATTGAAATATCCGTTGGAATTTCCGTTGAAATATAACAGTTTTTTTTGTAGTGTTAGTCAATATTAATAACATCTTTTCCAGTCAAGCAACTTCAAGATCGGTTGTCGGTGTTTAGATTTGGGAAGTTTCTCATATTCATTATCAGAACACATATTGTTTCTTTTAGTTTGTTGATCATGTCAAACAAAGCAAAAGAAGTGAAACCTCCAATGTATGATTCTAATTATTTATAGAAACAGAAGTTAAAGCTAAAAGCAACCAAAATTGCAAATTTGTAGAAAACTCTTGTACACATCAAACCAATATATTATCCACTCTCGACTCCGCAATAGACATAGGAATGTCGACACTTATTAGCCACTTATTGCAAATTTGCTTTGCATTTATCAAACTATATAATGCAGTCCTTTTAGCTGCCACACATAGGCTATTTAGATCAAGAATTTACGGCAATTAGAAGCATTACATAGGCAAGGAACTTTAACCTCGTCATGTTCGCCTGGATCAAACAAGTAGTCACACCTGTTTGTAATATATTATAATGAGTCTAAATATCATATTCCATTATAATGCTTGAATGTATGCCGTGTATAACAATAAAGTAGGAACATAGAATACAAAAATTAGAATAAATCAAGTATACGTACGTTAACTCTTCACCAACCGAAACATTAGTTTTCGCAACAACAACTATGCGACTCTCGTCATCTCCTACGCTCACAATTCTGGCATAGCAATTGGGCATGCACTGCAAGAATGGCTAAAAGTTACTTGCATGTGAATTGAAGAAGAAGAATAATAAAAGTGAGACGAATCTCCATAAATAATGAATTTGATTGAAGATGTTAATAAATACTCCCATATGATTCAAGATAATATTNTATAGACAATCGATTAATCTTGAAGAAAATGAGAGTAGAACATACAGAGTGATTAAGCATGCGGGACAAATTCCCTTTATTTGTTGCATCGATTACTATCTCTTCGTTGATCTTAAAGAACTGCACAAAGCATTAATTACACGGTCATTGCATATGCTCTATGTGAAGTAGCATAAACATAGAAACAAACAATGTGAGTAAACATATGATTATATATTAAGAAAGCTCAAGAGTAGTCAACTTACATAGCAATCTTTGCCTTCTGACCGATAGCGGGCCTCTCTTATGTTAGCAATGCTACCCCTAACTTGCTCGCCCATGTATTCTATAATCTAAAGAAACAGTCGGTGGTGAAAAAAATATACCATGTCTGAGACGAGAAAATTGCATTTTTAGTCCTGCTGGTTTAACGCCGCCATAACATTTTTAGTCCCACGATTTCAACTTTTTGTCTTTTCATCCTGTAATTTAGTATTTTGGTGCTTTTGATTAGCAATTTGAGTACTCTAATTTTAAATTTTGTTGCATTGGGACTGAAATTGCGTTGAATTTTTAAATTATAGGACCAAATAACAAAATGTTCAGTTATTAGGACAAAAAACGCCACTAAATCAACTAACAGGACTAAAATTGCAATTTTGTCTGTCTATAACTTGTAAACAATGAGTAGTACATGCATAGAGAGAAAAAGAATCATGAACTAGCGAGAGAAAAGTTCAAAGCCACATGCATTCTCTTATATTGCAGAAAATTAATGAGAGATTTGGCAATTTACCATTTCTCCTTCACTAATGCTTCGCCTAGCAAAGAGGCCCCAGTTATGTATTCTTGATTTACCAAAACAAACTCGGTATTTTTCTTCCATCTGAAGTGCCAATAAAGTAAATTGGATATGACATACTTCCTCCTGTTTTTTATAAATATCGTTCTGACTTTATTGACAATTAATTAAATAAATAACGTTTCAGGTTTTTTATTCACATTTTTTCATTTTTGTCCCCATCCATCTCTCCATATGAAGAAGATGAAGAGTCTTTCTTCATTAAAACAACATAATAAAGCTCAAAAGAACATAATTAATTAATGTTAATTCTCATTAAATAAGACTAAAATTGACAAAAAAAAAAATTCTTAATTCTTGTGCTTTTACACAGAACGACATTTATAAAAAACAGGAGGGAGTATATGTTACAGGTTACTGTGAATTCTCTTTTTGATAAATGGGAAGGTAACAAATAACAAATCTAACGAATAAGACAATATCAATTACCTGTAAGTGATTCAGTCGTTTTCTTAATGATAAGAAATCCGTAGTGTCTTCAGAAGCCTTATCAACACGAAAAGCAAGGTAAAAAGAAGAAATTTAGATATATCAATAAGGAAAAACTTGTGCATATATGTACAACGTCAATTGAAACATGAAAATGAAATAGTTACTTTATGTGAACTTAATCTATATATATCATCCAGTGAGTGATGACTCGGCCCCATCACGCGGTGAACTATCGAGTCTTGCCCGATCTTCTATTTAAATATCAGAGTAAATAGTTACATCAATGAGAGAAAAAAACATAAGCATATGATAACAAGGAGAAATATAAATACACACAAACATATTAAATCAATAATACTAAGGAGTCAATTGTTGGCTCCGTTATGGAGCCAAAAATCAATGAGACAGCTCCATGTGGGGCTGTCCCACATGACTCCAATGTGGGACAGCCCCACATGGAGCTGTCTCATTGACTGTTGGCTCTATAACGGAGCGAACAGTTGGCTCCTTAGCTTTACTGCATCATTCATTGGCTCTGAATTAGTTATATTTAATAAGATGTCACATGATTACACTATCTATATATATTCATTGATAACGAATAGGACAATGATTAAAAATTTCCCTTGATGCTTACTTTTTATCAAAACAAAAATTATTTTAAAAATCAAAATTACTCAATTACAATTAGGCAAAATTACATTTTTAGTCCTACTGGTTTAACGCCGTAGTATTTTTGATCTCAAGATTTCATTTTTTTTTTGATCCTGTAATTTAGTAATTTGTTGCAATTTCAGTCATTTAGGACTGAAAATGCAACAAAATTTGAAATTACAGGACTTAAGTTGCTAATAAAAAATCTTTCCAAAAGATTTTGCCTGAAAGAATTTTGATTAGCAATTTAAGTCCTGTAATTTTAAATTTTGTTGCAATTTCAGTCCAAAGGACTGAAATTGTATTGAATTCTAAAATCATATTAATAACAAATAGCAAAAATATTCAATTTTTGGGACTAAAAACGCCACTAGATCAAACCAACAGGACGGAAATTGCAATTGTGCCTTATAATTACTCAAAAATGAGTGCTACCTTTATGTTTGATTTTTGATATATACGGCACTTCGCTGCAGACATATCTTCAAATTCATATACATCATTGGGAGATACATCAGATCCTTTTAAATATTGTTCTTCATACTGACTTTTAAGGAACCTTTTGTTAGTAAAATCCCCATCTGGTGTGTTGACAACAAGCACATTTTCTGCACTAGGAATCCTATAAAACACCGCGAATCAGTTATCATGTTAGGTAAAGTAACTTCTCTTATCTCATAAAGTAAACACTTTTCAAACGTTTTTTCCTTTTGAAAGATAGCCAGATGATTTTGTGATTAGATAGATCCTTTAAGGGTAATATTGTTACTAGGCAAAATTGCCTTTAATATCATGACCTTTTTCGAAATTGCAATTTTATCACGACTTTTTCACTTTTGCAAATTATATCACAATCTTCAGTTCGTTGCAAATTGGTGCACCGATTTGCATATCCCGTGCAAACTATATCACAATCTTCAGTTTGTTGTTCGACCACCTAAGCTTTTCTATGACTGTTTTCAGACTGTTTGCAACAAATTAAAGATTGTGATATAATTTGTAAAAGTGAAAATGATCGATAATTGAACATTAAACTTACCTATGAGCGGCACAATATGATGTCCATTTTGTGATCTCCATACCATTCTTTAAATAGCAATCCAACTGTCATAAATAAAAATCAAAAGTTACTCAATGCATCACATGGAAGAAATAGATATAATGAATTACAATGCATTGCATACTTGGTAGAAAATAAATAAGTACATAACATGTGAAAATTAAATAAGAGAGTTAATTACTTCCATGAAATATCCAGCACGAGAAGCACACGTAACATGAAAATATGTAGCACACTTGCAGCAATGAATACAAGAACCATGAATTTGCTTGCAAATAATGCACGCCTGCATATTCACATTAGAGAAAAATATAAGACTGCTTAGAACAAGTAATCTATGGCAACACCACAATAGAAAATACTCATTCAATAAGATTTCGTTCATGAATTACATATTCATGAATGTGAATTAGAGAATGAGCATGAATTTGTTGTCTATTTTATAGAAAAATTTAGAGCCATAGAGAGAGCATGAACGATTAGTCCTGTTGGTTTGATCCAGTGGCGTTTTTAGCCCTAAGAATTGAATATTTTTGCCATTTGGTCCTATGATTTTAAGAAGTCTTGGCTGTAATTTTAAATTTTGTTGCAATTTCAGTCTCAAATGACTGTACGTAATTGCAGGAAAATACTAAACTACAGGACCAAAAGACAAAAAATTGAAATCTTGGGACTAAAGATGCTACTTTAAACGAGCAGGACTAAAAATGCAATTTTGGCTCAATATTATACAAAATACATGCCTTAGTGAATAAGTTGGGAGAAATTTTAAGAATTCCTATGGCGGGCTCCATTTTCTGTGGATCAGTAAACGCAATTTCTTGATGGAACCATGCACAGGTAACATGAACCCATAAAGGTTCAATATCGGTAGGCTTTAACGCACCCCCTGAAAATGAGATGTTCAATTAATAAAAAAGAATCCGAGTAAGAAGGAAACATTTAATTAAACACAAATTTAATTTATAGGGTAAGGCTACAATCTCGTTACGGAACCATTTCGTTGGGATTTGTAACCGTTAGATCAAGCATCATTGACGGTTACTTGATGATCTAACGGTTACAATCCCAACGGAATGATTCCGTAAAGGGATTGTAGCATTTTTCTAATTTATATTAATTACGTGCCTTTTACAGGACAAAGACAACATTGCTTCTCGACTTCTGGAGTTTCACATGATCGACAAACCCACGAAGCGAAATCTCGAGAGTTTGTTGCTCCGTAGCATTCTTGATGCACAACTAATTGACATCTAAATACAGAAGGACATATTATATTAATATAAAGTCTTGAATTTTATTTTTTTTCGTCTGATTATATCCAAAAAGTTGTAATTAAATATATCTATACCTGTTACATATAATTATTTTATTATTCTCCCAGTCTTCAACCCATCTACAAACTGCACATCGTTCAGTTGTCCACTTTGCATTAACAGGCTCATACTTTTCTGCCAAATAAAACAAACTACACAATTATCCCTCATATATATATATATATATATATATATATATAAATAATACAGAACAAATAAACAAAATCTAAATATATGCGATGATTCTAATGCCCAAGAAAGCATCAATTACCTTTTAGAAGAGCAAACAATTGTTGTTTATCTAACCGCATTGGGTTTAAACCACAGACATTGTTCTCTTCCAACTGTAGCACGTTTATACGTGATCAACTAATCAAATAATACGAGGAGTTCTATAATAATATAAAAGTTTGAGCATCAAGTTAGTGATTAGAACAAACCCAATCTCCAAGTGTTTGCTTAGTGCTCTTCACTTTTACACTACTCTTCCATTTCTTGGCCCGACTTCCGGTATGTCGTTCCCACTCGTTAAGCCCGTATTTCTTTGTACCACATGATCCACAAATGCATTCAACCCTATTAAGAGATAATAAAATAAATATAAATAACATATTCGTTCAGAATCTGAAAATCTTATTTTAAAAGCCGCAATGGTAGTAATTTCGCATTTTGGCATCATTTTTAACCATCATCAATGAAACAAATGAACACTAAAATCATGAAACATAGGACATACAAACGTAGAATCGGATAGTAAATCCCTTCCACGCCATTGCATACAACGGAATATTCCGACTCCGGAATTGATAGATCAGAATCAGCATCTCTCACTGAATTATTGCGTTCATTTATAGCTGAAATCGCCTCTTGAATTGCCATTTTAAAATTACTGGATTTACTGCCGTACAACTTAGTCTGCCCCTGAAAACTAATCATTCAACAAATTTATTGGTCAACTTTTGTCACTCCAAGTAAACTAGAACAAGTATAACTACAATATATATTCACCTGTCCTTGTATTCAAGGAAGGGAAAAATCATTTCTGCTTTTATCCACGCATACTCCTGCAAATAATATAACCAAAACAAAAGTATTTTGAACTGACATGTCATGAAAAAAAATAAACAAAAATCCTACATTTAGTATGAAATTTTGTAAAAGTAAGTATGCAATTCCGTTAAATATAATCTTTCAAGTTTGTCCGAAAAGCATGATCGATGGACCTATCTAATTATTAGATTATTATATAAGAATACAATTTTTTCAAACATAAGTTGACAATTTTTCAAATATAACTGCCTAGCTAACCTTACTCTAATAATGTGTGTTCACTATATTATAATACTCTCTCACCTTAATTTGAAACATTTATTTGCAACCACAAACTTTTGATCATATATACTAATTCCACTACGGCAAATCAATTTATCATATGACTAGCACACCACATAATTGTAAAAAAAAAAAAAAAAAATATGNAAAAAAAAAAAAAATATGAAAGTTAATTAATATAAACTTCAAACAAATACAAAAAGACGTGGCGTGCAAGAAGATTAATTACCCTTTGACCACTCCGTGAATACCCATAAAACATCACGCAAATAGTGCTTTGAAGTTGAGCCTTTAGTACTTGTTGAGGAGCTTGCAAATTGGGATCAATCACAATAGCTGGCCAAGTTGGGAAATTCTTGTATTTTGCCCAAACAACATCTCCCTTCACAAAATTACACCTCTTTCTTTCAATCTCTTTCATCTCATCACTATTCTCAACCTCTAAAATTACATCATTGCCCTCCCATTTTTCTTTCTTTCTTCTTTTCACTAAATTATACATCTCATTATGATGACTCTCCAACATATCGTTTTTCTCGACTGAATTCAATGTGGGTACCTGTGTCGACGACTTCAATGGCCGAGATTTATCTCCCGAGATTTTCGATTTTTCTCCGCATGGAATGGCGAAATATCGATCGATGATTTTCTTTGACTTCGTCGGATTTGAGGCCTCGACATTGATTTCGTCCGTAATTTCTTCTCTTTCCATTGAATGGCGTTCGATTTTCGACATATCGAGTATCTTCGACATCTCAAGATTTGTTTGCCTCTTTCCTTAATCGAAGTCCGGCCTTCGTAACGCCATTCGCCCAAGATTTTCAATTAAACCTAGCTTTTTCGAATGGAGAATGGGGGAAAAGCGACATAAACTGGTTAATAATGGAAAAATATTTTCGCCATTAAATTTTGCTTTTAGTACCAGTATTCTTGACCAACTTTGAATAAAAAAAACGAGTAATAAATAAAACAAATGAAGAGTTATAGAAAAAAAAAAGAAAATTATAGAATACACACCAATTATGAGAATCTCACATAAAAAGAAAAAAAAAATCGTCCTCACGCTCTTAAAATGTTTTAGTATGTGCTTGTGTGTGAAAATAAATGCATGCATATATAATTGTAAAGCAGATACACTTAATCTTTCTTAATTTTTTCTTTTTTCTTTTTTATTGCTTTATATGGAATAGAGGATTATTGTAATTAAATAATATCGATTTTTGATTTCATATTTCAACGTTAATGTTTTTGCAACAGAGGTCCGTGCCAAGACGACAAGCCGCCAAAAAAATATAACCGACGAGAGTATGAAACTTTGGTACTACCTAATGGAGGGTGTATTTACAGTTGAGACCTTGTGTGGTAGGTTCTTATTGGGCCACCTAATCCTCTCTAGACGTCAGAGTTTATGGGCATACAAATACATCGTTAACAAATATGTGGGCCATGAATAAGGTGCGCGATTTCAGCTAGCCTGAGAATTTCATTAGACTTATTATTCTGGTTTGAAAAAAACAAAAATTATTATTCTGGGACACGAAAAAAAATTATTCCATGAAATTTCAATAATTTAGAAATTGTACATTTAGTCATTCTAATTAAAAATCTTTTCAAAAAAAAAAAATTCTAAAAAATTCAATTTCATAATAAAAGAGTTATTTTAAAGCTTTTTCTCTCATAATTCTTCTGAAATATTAATTTAATATAGTAAATCTTTTATGATGGTACCAAAATTATTCAATATGACATGTGAATTACTAAACACAGTCCCCTATTACTACTCACCGCCACTGCCCCATNTCGTATCGTCGCCGCCGCCTCGTCGCACCTCCAAAAGAATTCCGAGAAAATATCACGACAACGCGGGGCTTAGGCAAGGGATACATGATCGACACGGTATATTTTATTTATTTTTATTTTTTGCTTTGTAAATTATTTGTAAGAATTTTTTTAAAAATTTGCAGCACCAGCTGGCGGCGTATGCAGACCGCCTTGGAGCGGCCGGCCGCGAGCCATACGGCCGCGCCATATGCAACCGACAAATGTGGACGGCCAGACGCTTGGCCTCCAGTAGAGCTGCAAATAAGTCGAGCCGAATCGAATATTGGCCTAATCGAGCAGGATTGAATTTTTTTTGTTAGCTGTTCGAGCTCGAGCTCGAGCTCGTTAACCTTAATTTATGAGGCTTGAGCTCGACTCGATAAGAAAATACAATAGCTCAAGCTCGAGACTCGATTTGAAATCAAATGCTCGAGCTCGGCTCGAAAATTTTTAAGTGAAATTATCATTAAACACTTGTATTATACTATTCAAATATATATATATATATATATGAGGGATATTTTAGTAATTTAACGTATATATCGAGCCGCTCGATAATGCAAATTGTGGCTCGAGCTCGACTCGAGCCGCTCGAGTTCGATCAAACTCGAGCTCGAGTCAAGTTTTGACTCGAGCGGCTCGTGAGCCGCTTGACTCGTTTGCAGCCTTACCCGCTAGCTCCGGCGACCGGCCATTCCCTCTCCGGCCACCGACCGCCCAAAACTTAATTTCTTTTAATTGAAATTATTTAAAATATGTTTAAATAATTAAAAAAAATAGAACTGGATTAATGTTTTGATTTAGGGAGTTAATATTAAATATATTACTTATTAATAAATATGTTAGTTATAATTAATATATATATATATATATATATTAGTTAAATTATAATTAGTATTGTAATATAAGCTGGAAAATTGTACAATTTTAAATTAATTAGTTTGTATAATTATATAGTCAAAAAGGTGTAATTATATTAATCATGTAGTTATGAAAAAGTACTAAATTGATTTTTAATACTTTTTAGGAAATAATTACTTGTAATATTTAATAATGTATTTTAAGAAACTAATTATTAGTTTAAATTGTTGACTCAGACTGCTGGTGGACCTCCGCGATGAGCCACCGCTGAAGAGGTTGAAGAGTATTATGGTTCTGAACTCGACACACGAGGAGTCGGTATATAGATGCTTCCGTTCGTCGGGAGAGAGACGAGATGATGCGTTAGACTCTAGCGAGATAGACTGGTCAGGCTGACCAGGCTGGCAGTTCGAGACCTCATGCTCCTCGGTACATAGTGGTCTGCAGACTCGCTTATTCTTGCCTGGCAGTACGAGACCTCTCCCTCCTATACATATTGGTCAGCAGCCAGATTATTCTTATGCGTCGACAGCCGAGAGGCTGCAGTCCTCAGATGAGTCTGAGGACTATGACTCTACAAATGAGCAGGACGTTGTACCTCTTCCCCCACGACCACGACAGGATCCTGCACGACCTGCTCCTCCACGACAGGCTGAGGGCCGTTTTGCGGGCACTGGATCCTCCTCAGGTAAAAAATTTTGTTGTTTACCATTATATTTTTTTCTATTTAATAATAGCATATCATTGATACAGTAAGTCACAATATGTCGTATATATATATGTTCTAATCTAATGCAGGTAAGACTAGCAAAGGAGCTAGGAGTGATGATGCCTAGATTGTTAAAGACCAGTGGCCGGTAGCCCCATTGATGGGGGTGTTATCCCTAGATTTCTAGGGCACGTAGCCTCTCGTATGTGGATTGGAGAGCTTAGAGACATTCTGAAATGCCAAAATAGACAGGGAGCGCAAGTCACGTTGAAGGATTGGCTCTCTGGTATGGCTCCCGCTCCACGTGGTTTGATAGTTTAGACTGGGCTGTCACATCTGGCGGACTCCATGCATACTCATGTGGACATTCCACTTATTTCTTCATTTGTGGAGCAATGGCAGCTGGATACTAACTCGTTTCACATGCCTTTTGGTGAAATGAGTATAATGTTTCATGACGTTCGGGTAAGTTTAAGGATTCTTGTGGATGGAGAGATAGTGACAGAGGACCCCGATAGTGGCTCCTGCCAGGCGTATTGCATGGAGATGCTGTAGGTGGAGCAGAGCGAGCTGATGTCGTCGTTCTGGGATAACGATGCGTCGACAGTTACTGCCATTTTGGAGGCATTTCAGGGGAGAATGCCGGCTCGTCGGCTAAGGCTGAGACTACTGCGTGGATATGGCTGATGCTAGGTACCACCTTGTTTATGGACAAGAGTGGTAACAGGGTAAGTCCTAAAGGCTTGCACAAGATGATCGACAACGTGAGTAGAGTTGGGACTTACTCCTTGGGCTCGGCTGCACTGGCTTATCTGTACAGACAGTTAGGTATTGCCAGCAGGGGGAGGCACAGGAACTGTCTGGCTACTTGACTCTTATGCAGTCCTGGATATATGTGTACTTCCCCAGCTTCTGACCCCACCGAGAGCGTCTTCCCATTGGTCCTGACAGTGTTGCAAGATCCAGCTCGTGAAGTGTAGTGGTGACAGAGAGGAGTGATCATCGTCTCACCTCTCTCCGTCAGCGCCTTGACACTTTCACCGTCGCCGAGGTACGTTAAGTTATTTCAAATAATAGAATTGTTTTAATAAATGCTTTTATTCAATTGTGAATAGATGAACTGGTTACCATACAGTCACAGCCCAGATACGATGGAGCCTAGAACCGTTTATTACGGATGGCGTAGGTACCGCGATATTGTGAAGCCGAACATGCCTGTGCGGTTTTTGCGTCAGCTGGGCTTCATCCAGACTGTCCCTCCCTGCATGATCTGTCCACACAATGCAGTACGTGCTTTTGAGTCTAGGCTCTACAAGGTTGAGAATGCTGATACTTCTGCAGAAGCTAGCTAACACCAGTTCTCGAGGAGGCCTTTGAGGAGTACTCGGCGTGGTATGCTCGGGTTTCTCATCCTATTATCTTGGGTGACAGTCTGCCGGATGAGCACGGAGTCCCTACGCGCGCCAATACTGATTATGTAAGTCGTTTACTGAATTTTAGTTAATGTTCTTTCATTACAATAAGTTTTTTAATATATATGTGATAATATTTTAATTCTTCTATTATGTGTAGTGGGTCTGCTGCCTCGTCAGACATGCAGCGGGAATCCGCGAGGGTCATTCCTGAATTGGCGGCGCCTTTTGTAGATAAATTTGCTCAAATTAAGTTGGATTGGGAAAGAGCGGCCCAATGATGTAATGAATGTTTTTTTTTTTTTTTGATTTTATTGTTAAATATTCATAAGATTTTTATGGTTTTTCTTTTAGTTTTTTGTTAATTCATTTCAATTTCATCTATTTCCAAATGTTATACTACATTCCAACAAAAAAATCTACAACAATCAACGTATACGTACTCGTGTGACTCCCCACACTCGTGTCACTTGGCACATGACTCGTGTGGCATATTTATTGCAAAACTAACGACAAAATAGTGCACAATCCAACAATAAACACGACCGAATATCATAATATATCAATGTGCATTATGAATATTATGCCACAACTGGATCATGTTCTGGTAGAAACCCTCCCAACCTCCAACCGTCCAATTTCGGTATTTAAGCCACAAAAAATAAATAGGCAGCACTAGAAAATTAGGAGACATATCTAGACGAATGTAGTGTGGATACGAACCAAGATGACAGATTACAATCTCGTGTTCTGGTCGTGTAGCCGTGGATCATGCATGGAGCGGCAATACTGTCGTACAACAATTTTTGATATCGTTACCCTTGCTTCCAAGGCCTAACAAAACGACAACTGCATTGAACAGTGTAGCAATAGGGAAGATGTCGACTACAACTTCCATCTAGTTCTCACTGCCACAAGTGCTCCTGTCCCATCTTATTTGTCTGAGTGTGG